ATGGTGGAGGGGGTGTGTCCTGTTTCCTTGAGTTTTGTAGACAAGGTTAGGTCAATGTGGCTTTGTTGATTTTGGGATTTTTTGATTTTGGTTGGGAGTTAGTTTGAGTTTGGGAGGAGGAGGGGAGGTTGGTTTGCTGTGTTGTTTGTTTTTGTTTTTAATAATGAAAATTTGAATAGCAGTATGAAAGCTACTTAATCTCCAGCTGATGATTCTGTGGAGGACAGAGCCTATAGTTTCTGAAGTTTATAACTTAACTGGGAGCATCCCAGTTTCCTCTGTTATATTGACCTAGGGCCTACATGGCATCCTTGTAAATGCTGTGTCATTTCTTTTGGTGCATGTCCGGGATCTCTTTCTTGTGCATTCATTATCACCTGTTACATTAGTGTTTAAGAAACTTTACCAGATGGGATGGAAGGAGGAAGGAAAATATATAACATGTTTCTTGGTCTATCTTTCCTTTTAGATGGGAAGTAGGAGCATGGATTTTGTTTCATTTTATCTGAATGCTAAAATCTGTGTCTTGATTTGATAGAGATAGTTAAGATACATTAGCTTAGCTCTCCAGCTGAGTGCAGGGATACTTCTTTTCCTACAATACAGAAAAACAATTTTGTTCCTTTTCTAGGACAGAAAAGGGAGATATAAACATTAGGAAGCCAGTAAAACAGATGGTGATTTAACTTGTAAAGTTATTACAGATAGGATGGCAGTCATTCAGACAGAAGATGTGCAAATCATAATAGCTTCTCAGGTGCATATGCATGATATGAGCTGTGTTACAGAGCAGGTCAAGCAATCAGTTTTACATTCATATCCTGAGCCTCAGTCATTTTTGTTAGATCACTCTCCTGTGAGCAGCTTATTCCGTCAGGGCATGGAAATTTATTCTCAGATGAAGAACGTTTGTTTGGCAAAAAAGGCAGGAAATTCAGAACTGTTTTGACCTCTTTCTAGATGACGAAGATAAAATTACTTGTAGCCTAGTTGGGATATGGATATGTATTCTTTAAAACACAAATGGAGTTTTTAACTTTAGAAAGGTAACAAAAATATTGTGGGTATTTTTATGTGGAAAAGAATATCCCTAATATTTTCCCACTGTTCTTTCATGTTTATAAAGTGCTTTTCATTAGAAATACCCTAATTCACTTTTTAAGCTTTTGTGTCTAGGTATGGACCTGCCTATTTTGAGATTCTTTGTAGAATGTATTCATCAGCACAAAGTCATGTAGATGAGTCCTAAAGTTCTTTGAATAAAGAAAGAAAAAGAACATTTCCAAATATTGAACCAAGTATAAATTGATATACCATCATCTCCTTGAAAGTGCAGAAACCCTGCAACAGGAACTTTGATCTTCTGGACCATTCTTATTATCTCTTTGGAGTGTCAACACTCAAACTGTGTGATAAAAATGGCAGTGGCAATGTTATTCATTTTTGTGTTGATCACTTTCACAGAGGTATTCAGCAACTGAGCCTATTTCTCAATCTTAGGTCATTTTTGAAGCACTAAATCCTTCATCCCTTTTTTTTCTGTCTAACTGCCAAAATTTCTTCCTGCTACAATGACATTGATCATTCACTCTTAAAACAAAATTTACTTATTTAATACAAAATGTAAAGGTCTGATTATGCATTTTAATATAAAGTTCTACCTCATTTAAAAAAAAAAAAAAAGAAGAAGATTAGCAGTGCTCTCCGTGATGGAAGAAAAGTAAATTGAATTTACTATCAGGGAATATTTTTACTGATTGTCTTACCAACTCACATAGGGTTTAATAAAATTTGTCAGGAGCTGCAGAAGTACTTCCAATCTGTCTGGTAAAGTACCACCATAATAGTAGACTTGGACAAAAAACTATAGATCTGGCTGCAGGTTTTGGAACAGAAACTGTTTAGCCAAGTTTAGGGTCAGAACTGACAGGTGGGAACATTGCAGTTTAAATATACTTTTGAGTAGATGATGATGCAGAAGATCCTAAGTAATACTCAGGTGTGGGAATACATATGCAAGCCTGTAACATGAATATATGCCTTCTCAAATGCCAGTCGCTGGTAGCATCTTGTTAGTGCTTCTAGGCTTGTCATACTACAGACATGCTGGAGTAACATAACCAAGAACACCTTCCTTGCCTGTGAAATGACTCTGTCATATTTCAGGGCGTTGGAATGACAAGAGTGTTCAAGAGCTCCAGTCAGGCTTGTGCCATGATGTCACTCTGGCTTCCAGGTGTAACCACCTGCAGGGAGCAGAAGAGAAGGATGCACTAGCAGAGGTCTAGGGCCGGTTAGTAAGCTGTTTAGGACTTCAGTCCCAAACCAAAGAGGTAACTGTGGAGGTGGCCACGAAGAACAAAAGTGACAAAAAAGATGTGGCTTGACTAAACCTCCAGTTACACAAGTGGAAATCAGGAGCCTAGGTATGTGAGTGGAAGTCATCAGAGCCAGAGTGAAAAGTAACTATTTTTTTTCCTCAAAGATTGTTTAATTTCCATCCTAGACTTTGGAAAATAAACTAGTACATGTTACTGTACAACCAATAAAAGAGATAGGTGTGGGCATATAGCAAATCTATCGTTTTAAAAAGAAAAATCTAAGCAAAGCTTCAGAAAGACAATGAATTCAAGTTTTCTTCTGTACAGAAAGAGGAAGTATTTGTCATTATTCGACACAAAGGAGAGGTGTCTTTTAGAAGGGCTATTTGACAATTTTGTTTACTTCTCAGGAAATAAACTTTTAAATTTGGTTTAGCAAAATCTGAAACAGAATATTCTTTTTTCATTCCAGGGGAAAGGACAGTTCATTTAATCTAAAAGATAAGACTAACATGTGAACAAGTTGGTATAACCTGGATGTGATAAATTTAGAATAAACCTGGAAATTTAGAAGAAACCTGGAAGCTTTCTAAAAACAGACTAGGAAATTTTTACCTCCTGATCAGTGCAAAAGAATGAAATAGTTTGAAGATGGTGCTGGAAGAAAACTTTATGAAAAAAAATAATTGCAAAACATTATTCCCGATAGCAGAGAACTGGGCTAGGTAAAAGCCCAGGAGATGCTGGGCCACCAAGATTCCTCGATCTGTTTAGGAAGGATGAAAACATGAACATGGTTGCATAAGGAAACTTGTCTTTCAAGAAAACTGGTAGTTTCCAGGTTTATTTGGAAGAGAGGAAGAAAGGAAAGGCTACTTTCATCCTTTTTTTGATCAGGATAGGTATGGTAATTGATCTAGGAATTATTTGGAAGAGGTGATTTGTTAAATGGTGAATAAGGTGTGTGCATGTAACAGTTACCACCCTTGTTGACCCTGATTATATTGAGAGCTGGAAAATGTAAATCTTTGCATTTGGAGTCAGTGTCTTGGCCTTCTGAGCTGATGTAACTAGAGTAGTCGAATTGACTGTGGAGGCCCAGAATTTGACCTGTATGTTGCTATGTAATTGTTAGGGATGTAACTTCTGTTAGATAAAACACAATTAGACAGTTGTTATGAAGAAAAACGTGTAACTGGCAGAAATAGCAGAACTAAACTTATAGAAGAACATTTGTCTGGCGACTTGCTACACCAATCATGAGCAGCAGCTTGGAGCAGTCACCAACCAGAAAAGGTCAACCAGCCTGGGAGATGCTGCCTGTCTCATAAAATTCATCCAATGCAGCCTGGTCACCACAGGGACATCTGTCCATTCAGGATCCCCAGGGATGCCTGGGACTAAGCTTGCGTGGCCAGAACCAATGCCTGTAATACCCTGCTCCTCACGACTTCTGACAACCTCTGCTCCTCCCAGCAAGGAGAGGGGAAGCAGAGACAACCAAGTTTCTATAGTTTTGTATTGTTCTATGGATTGCTGATTGCTCCTTCACAAGGGCAATAAGCATCCAAAATATTTCATATCTATCTGGCTATTTTGTAGTAATTAGTGCGTGTGTCTAGTTTGTTGTGACCTAAATTCCAACAGCTAAGCTCAGTGTCATAAGAGATCCTTTTCTTTTGCCAGTAAGAACCTGATGGGTGTGCGTACCTGAACTGCTTTGCTTTATGTGGAAGTGAGCCCAATAGTGCGGTAATATGAGGAAAAAAGGACAGCAAAAGTGTTTTGGGAGACTTCACCCTGTGTTCCTGTTGGTAGGAAACAAAGATTCTTCTGCAAATTAAGCTGATACCGTTAGATTTGACACAGTGCTGAATGGTTTGCAATGCGGGCTGGCACACCTCTGCAAACGACAGCAGAACATTTTTCCTGTAGAATCAATTTGCGAGAACAGATCAGAGAGAATTGGAGAGAAATGGTACAAAGGGGAGACCGAGAGAAGGGTGGTGCAGATAAGGAGGGAGAAGGAACCAGAATATCAAAAAGACGGAAGGAAGAAAAGGATAAAGATAAGCAGAGATAAAGGATACGCAAAGGGGGACTGAGTAAAAGAGGAGAGGGCGTGAGGGAAGACAGGCAGACAGAGGAAGGTATTCATGAATGCCTATAGGAGTTGCTGAAAAAAGGCTTATGTGCACAGCAGAAGCAGAGGAAGATGCAGGATGGATGCGTGTACTGGGGGAGGGGAAGAGGCAGTGAATACACACAGCAGGAGGGGGAGAGAGATAGATGGCAAACATGCATATAGGAGTGGTGGGGAGAAATAGTGGATGTACGCAGCAGGGAGAGAGCAAGTGAGAGAGAGACACAGCAGATGCACACAGCAGGGGGGAGATATGCATAGAAAGGGGCGGGGGAGCAGCACAGGGAAGGTATCAAGAAGCCTCAACAAAATTAAACAATAAAATAATAAGGAATCATAAAATTCATGATTTGAACATTTATCATTATTTAACACAGGAAATCAGGAGACTTTGAAGAGAATTTACATTAGTTAAAAATTTTAAGCACTTCAAATGTTAATAGTGTTTGGTTTGGAATAAGACTATGCTTGACTTAATGAATTCCTTTTTGCATTCGCAACAAAGCAGATGTCTGCTTTCTGTGTCTGACAGGGGACCCAATCCATTGCTTTTTGACGTCAATAAGACTGTGGCTCTTTCAAGGACGTGCATTTATCTTGTCAATGTGGTCTAACCAACCAGCCTTGCTTCTCTGCTCTGATCTCTCACAGGTGAGGAAGGTGGGTGGGAAGTGTCATCACCTAAATGTTGTGAAATCTAAGTCGTCAGATGCTTCTCGATATTCTTATGCATATTTGGGCACTGATCCCTGTTAATCAGTGGTGCATACAGTCTCGGGGAAGTTGCTGTTATGTGCATCCATGTGTGGCTTGTAGAGGTACTTGGCACCAGCCCAATGGCACACAGGGTTAGACCACCTTGATGACAAGTGTAAAGCAGCATAAAAACCAGAGCAGTCAAACTGTAAGATGGGTTAAGGGACATCCTGTGGAGGATATATATTTGTTTTATTGGATTACATGATATGTGTCTTTTTGCAGTTTCTGTGGAAAATATACAGGAAAGCTCCAATAATTTTTACAAGCATAACATAAACCCCACTGATATGCATATGGAGGGAACTCTGGCATTGGAGTGATTTTGTTGCTACAACTGTTCACAAAGTTGCTCCTCTTGACTGAGCTGACAATTTAATAGACAATCTATAAGGGAACAAAATAGCATGGGAAAAGTGACTCAAAGGGAGACACTTCTAACTTTTGAAGAGAAAACGTTGGTACAGCAAAGGCATGAGAAACCAAAGGTTGAAGAAGCTGTTTTTAAACAAAACAGGGTTTCCTAACAGGAGAAGGGGGTTCCCTGTGGAAGAAACGAGGTTTGGCTGGAAAACTTGACCTCTCATAACTGTTTTTGTGGGTGGAATCACAGGAATGCACTTAAGATGGGCAGCTGCATGGGCTGTTAGGAAAGTCTCTCTCTTCTGCAAATGCTTTATAACCCCTAAAATAATTTACTCCTGTTGCTGTGAGAAAGGCTGTACATAGCACTGATCACAGGCTTCTGAAGGGAGAGTTACCAATGTCCAAATTCATGGAACAAAGTGAGTGCCAGTGTATCCATGCAGGCTTGCACCTTTGATTGGGGAATGGGAATGTGAGGCTTTTGTAGCTTCAATGAAAAGCAGAAGTATGACGACCAGATTAGTCTAAGGTGGAAATGTGGTAAAAGACATGCTCAAAAGCAGTAAGTGCTTTTATTTGTATCACAGTTTTTCTCCCTTCTGAATTCTTACTTCCTCTAAAAGCTCAGAGAGAAAAGATTTATTTATTTTTTCATTTAAATTCTGCAATGTATTCTGTTGTCACTGCTGTCCTCCTACAGTCTTAAGGGGCTTCAGGGAGTGCTGTGCTTTTTGGTCAAGCAGACTTAGCAAAAAGGAGAGAACGTGGGTAAAATAGATGAGTTTCAAGAGAGCAGACATATACATCAGAAATTGATGCCAAAATGGCAATACTATAGGCCATATTGAAGGATCTTTTTGTCTGTTGTCCAGATTTGGAAGGATCTCACTGCTGGTTCCTTCTGCCACAGTGAAGGCTGTGTGTCATTTGACAAGTAATGTGGAAAAGTAGGGAGGGAGACACACCTGCCATGAGAACTTGGCTTTTTGCAGAAGCAGAGATAAGTATGGGGAGATGTATTCAATTAGATTTTAATGCATCTGAAAGGTTACTTCAGGGACAAGCTGGCCCTTCTTCTGTGTGCATTGGTACACACGCCAAGGGTCCATTCGTGCTCTTAATATAAGTGCCGTATGTATTGATTGCCTGAAAACACACTTCCCTCAGTTTCCCCCTAGCTCAGCATTGTGAATTTCTTCTCCTTTTTCTGGACTGGATGAGTAGGAAGGTTTAATTTAGACATTGCTACAGCGGGAAGAGGTTTGGTCTGAACTGCTCTCATGGCCATCTCCATCCTCAGAGGTTCTGTTCTCTAGTAGCATTGGCCCAAGCTTTTCTCATTCTGTGCCCTCATACTGTTTTGAATGCAATGTGGTATTGCTGAGTCACTTGAGTGAACAAAAGAAAAGCTGATGAATAAGAGCTCTCTCTTGCACATATGTGCAAACATGTTTTCAGAGTGCTGCTGTGGTTGAGGCAGAAGGGAGGCCATTTCACCACTCCTGTGGGCCCTGTGCAAAGCTGCGTGAAGCTGATGGGAAGATGTGTCTTCAAGCTGGGCCCAGTATACATAAAAGACTAAATAATTGCTTTTGGAATGCTAAAAATAGCTAAAATATTCGTATTGTCTCTTTCCATCTTGTGATAATAAGTTTTATCTCTCCTTCTAGATGCTTTAAATTTCTACATGAATGCAAAAGGAAAAATCCTTAGTCCAGATGTTTGGATAGGACTTAGAAAAAATCTCCCTTGGCATTCCAATAATTCTGTTTTGTAACCAGTGTTGGTCTAGGAAAGTAAGGATTATCTTGGGCAATTCAAGTGTGACAAGACGAGCTGTGACTGGAAAGCTGCCTGGCAGAAAAGGACCTGGGGGTTCTAATTGACAAGCGGCTGAATATGAGCCGGCAGTGTGCCCAGGTGGCCAAGAAAGCCAATGGCATCCTGGCTTGTATTAGAAATAGTGTGACCAGCAGAAGTAGGGAGGTGATTGTGCCCCTGTACTCATCACTGGTTAGACCACCCCATGAGTATTGTGCCCAGTTTTGGGCACCTCAATACAAGAGTGATATCAAGGTGCTGGAGCGAGTGCAGAGAAGGGCAAGGAAGCTGGTGAAGGGCCTGTAGAATAGATCTCATGAAGAGTAATTGAGGGAGTTGGGGCTATTTAGTTTGAGGAAGAGGAGACTGAGGGGAGACCTCATCAGTCTCTACAACTACTTGAAAGGACATTGTAAAGAGGTCGGTGCTGGTCTCTTCTCACAGGTAATTAGCGATAGAACAAGAGAGAATGGCTTCAAGCTGCAACAGGGTAGGTTTAGACTAGACATTAGGAAACAATTCTTCACAGAAAGAGTGGTCAGATACTGGGATAGGCTGCCCAGGGAGGAGGTTGAGTCACCACCCCTGGATGTGTTTAAGAGTCGTTTCGACTAAGTGTTGGGGGATATGGTGTAGGGGAGAACTTTGCAGAGTAGGGTTGCTGGTTGGACTCGATGATCCCAAGGGTCTTTTCTAACCTGAACGATTCTGTGATTTTATGATTCTATGAATCTAATTATTGGGAAAAAAAAAAAAAGACTACTAAAATACAAGGGAATCAGTAAATGGTGGTGATTTGAAAATCCAGTAGATGCAGCTTCAGTGGGCCTGTTGTAATGCAAAAGCTTAGCTGAGAGTTTCAAATGGGTGAGAAGTGAGAATTCTGTGAAGCAAACATTGCTTCTAAACAGAGCCCATGTATGAGTGTTGTGGTGCCAGGAGCACCATTTGGTTTTGGGTACCACAATTGCGCTGTAATTCTCTGATAAAATCTTTGCTTTTCAATAAGTGTTATTTTAATTTTTTTAAGATATGCTTATATGTTAGTAGCACAACGAGGTGTATTTTGAAATACATTCTACCTCATAAAAAAATGAATCTTATTTATAGAGATTGTGAAGATTATGAAGGCTGCTGTGAAGATTTAATTCTGGGGGAAAAGCTTTAGAAATACCTATAAAATAGAAAACCTTTCTGTTTTTCATCAGCTTTTCTATGGAAATTAATTTTACAGAATATCAAATTAGATGCTGTTTGTTTAACTACTTGAACTGTAGGGGTTACATGCCAGATAAAGAAAAGTGTTTTGAATATAAAATAGTTCAAAATTAAGTCATTTTAAAATGAGAATGAATACTGTGAGAAAAGCTCAGTCCCCTTCAGCTCTGATTAGTGACTGTGTGATACTTAAAGGGGTAGACTTGAATATTAATATGGCTGATGTGTCCTATCTTAAATCTATTCTATATAAATTAGAATTAGACGTACAGCATAAATCACATCTGATTCTGTCATTTTGCAACATGTTCTGGTGGTGTGGTGTTTTGTTTGGTTTGGGTTTTTTTTTGTGTGTCTGTGTATTGTGTATATTGTTTTGTTTTTAACTTCAGCATTAGCAGTGTTGTGATTTAAATTATGCTTCATTCCGAATGAAATTAGAGGACCTTATCTGGACGTTGATTGTAGTTTTGCTGATTTCTGTTTAGGACCACGTAGTCTACAGACACTATAGCCTCTTATTTTCCTGTCAACAAGCAGAAGAAAAAACACTGGATTCTCACATGTGATGAAAGACTGGAAGGGAAAGACAGAGAGGAAGAGACCAGAAAGTAAAATGGCAGATAGGGGAAGAGAGTGGTGAAATGCAGGTGAATTTCTGTGCATTTATGCAGCACAAACTGGGACTTATGCAGCAACGTGACAAAAATGTCAATTATGACCATATCACTGCTACATAACTAAAAGGAAATGCCTGCTCAGCTCCTATGTTTCTTGTTATATAGCAATATATTGTATTCACAGTGTCGTGATTTCATTTGTGTTATCAAGACTGAATTATGGTAAAGTCATAATTACAAATAAATTACAAAGAAACAAAAAAAAAGTTCATATTTGCTCTCAGACCTATCTGGCCATCAGTGTCTCACTTGACAGTTGAAAGCAGTTAGAAAACACCATACAGTTTTGGGGCTTTTTTGATATTAGACTTTTAGTAGGGGTTATGGTGTATATTCATATCAGTTAATAATACAACAGGCACAAAATGTATCTTAAAGACCTGATTTTAAAATGTTGGTTTCAATCAGCTCTTTTTTTTTCTTTCATTATTAATATTGATTAAAGATTCTGTGAATTTTTCTCCATTCTGTTTAAATTTCTTCTACACCTAGTAATTGTATTAAATCAGTAAGAACCTTCCTTTCTGAATCGTGTCAAGGGGCTTGGTATGATAGGGCATGACGACAGAATTCAGAGCTCACAGACAGACAGAATTCAACTTCTTTCTTTTTGGAAAATGGCTACTATGTTGACTTCCTGAAATACACTAAATAGGAAAAAAAAATGTTTAAGCTCTAAGGATTCCATAGAGTCTATGTGATCAGCATTGGACTGAAATAGAATGGTAATTATTTGCTTAAAACATGTTAATGTATCGGATTCAGTTCTGATAAACTGAAATCTCTTTGCTTCTGAAATGTACTCCTATTTCTGAAATGAGTTAGAAATAGATACAACCTGACATTGGGCACATTCAGAAAAGTATACTGAAAAACTACATTATAGTCTTACAAAGGCCTTATTTGCATGGATATATTGAATATTGTGTTAGCCTTATTCATTGTTTCTCACAATGACCTTTCCAGTTAGAAATTTAGGGAAATATTATGTATTAGTTTTCTGAAAAACTCTTTCTTTAAATTTTCCCTGCACAGAAATCCTTTTAAAATTTAAATATTCCTTCTACATTTTGGGTCATATCAAATTGTAGTTGATTAAAACATTGTTAATTATCAGTAAATTTCTTTTCTCTGAGGAAGCAAAATATGTTTTTTTACAGGTGAAGTTATATTCATATGCCAGAATTTGCAAAAGGGGTTAATCCAACTGAGAATATGTACTGTATTGGTTTTTATCTTGATTTTGTTATTATTAAAAGTTAAAATTAAGAAACAGAAATTGATCTTGAGAATACATTGGCCGGTTAAAACATATTTAAAAAACAACCCACCAAATCCTCACAGTATAATCCAATTAGTCAGCAAAGAAAATCATGACCAGGCAAATTTGCTCATTCCTCCTTGTAAAGTCAAGGGCCTTTGTTGTGTAAGTAACATATTTCATAATCCATAAAGCCTCTGCTTTGTCTTTAGTGTTCTGTTTTGGCTGTATTATGTTACTCATAGGAAAATACAAGAGATATTTTATTGGATGGCAATAACGTAATTTGACTGTTCAGAGAAATTCCTCCTACCCAGTTAACGGATACCTATTTGGCTCCTCTCTTGAAGGATGTTCTTGATGATCTGGGAAAAAAGAAAAGGCCCACTGAAGTTCCTGGCTTCTATGATGTCATGTGGCATTCAACTCTTTAAACTAAATCTGTATAATGAAAGCAAATTTTCCTTTTCAAGAGCCTGGAAATGCATCACTTCACTAAAAAAGTACCTTTTTTGTGTGTGGTAAGAAGAATTAGCTACTCATGTTTCCTCTTTCCTCTGTGTGTGTGTGTATATATATATATATATATATTTACGTAAGGAAACTCTAACTTAAGAGGCTTCTGACCAACTGTGAAATCTCAAGTAACGAGGGAGAGCTGTCATTTCCTGTATTCTGTATTGTTTGCTTTTTTGCCATCAGTCAGAACAGGTCAGTTTTCTAATTACAGGGTAAAAAGTCACGGATACTGCATAAGGCATAAGGAGTTGGAATAAGGAAGAAATCAAAACCTGTCAGTATGCATTTCTATATCAGTGGCAGGAGTGGCTTTTGAAATGCTGAGCGCAATATTGTATCAACCTGTTTCACACAAAAATGTTGGAGAAAATATAAAAATAATCTGGGCATGAAAAACATTTTTAAAAGGTGAAATTAAAAAATGCTGAAATTTCTTGTCTTCAGAAAGATGATTTTGATAGTTCTTGTTAGCCTTTTTTTCATAACAGCATATTCAGTAAACCAGTAAGGTGATAAATTCCAAATGTTTGAAAGACTTCTTCCAGAGTGCTGCTGTGGTAGAGTACGGAAAATAAATTAAATGCATAAAATGGGATGTAGTGGGAAATAGTTAACAAAGCTTTTCAGCTTTTGAAGAGGGAAACGTAATTCTCACTTTGAATTTTAGACTATTTTTTTATCAAGTTCTTTGCCAAATTATCTTAAGAAAAAACCCAAGAAAGTGTACCTAGATGACTTTCTATATGAGGGCAGGCTGAACAGGCTGGAACTTTTAAGCATAAAAGAGCTACATATGTGGGAAGTGCAGTGACAGAGGTGAATACAAAGATGATTGCTGCAAAAGGGATAAATAGGGACTAGCTGTTCACCATCTTCTATAAGAACCAGGGGAATCCAGTGTAATTATGAGCTAGTAGGCTTAGACAGGAGAAAAAAAAAAAACCACCCAGCAGGTTTTTTTCCCCTGGAAGTACAGAATTTAAACTGTGGAATGCATCTCTACTATTTTCAGAAGGTCAAAAGTACAAACTGATTTAAAAGAGATTGGAAAATCAACAGAGAACTGGTTAATGAGTAGCTGTTAAAGACAATGGCGTGGACACAACCTGTGACTGAGGAAATAGTATCCTCATTTACTTAATGACAGGTATTTTGCATGTTCCTGATTCTAGCAGCTGTGGAGATGGGTTACATACTGGATGGACTAATGTTCTGATCTGTGGTTGCATTTTCTGGATTCCCCGTTTGTATATGGCTATATGGACAAAAATCCTCATTTTAATCTTTTTTTCTAGAGCTTAACAAAGACCCAAAATCACTTGCTTAGTATATATCCCTGTAAGGTACTTAGCATAAAATATAGGTTGCTGTGCAGTTTGTTGGTACCTGTTTTCTACTTGATAAAGGTGCATTGCAACATCAAGACCAAAGTCATGTGTTTTGCTGTGCTACAGGGTGGGTACAATAAAATTAACAACTGTTCTTAGGGTGTGATGAGGAGGAATGGTTTGAAAAGTCAGCTTTCTGTATCTTAAGGGGCACTTACATTAAGGTTTCTAGTGGCGATTACACTCCAGTTACATCCTGCCTAGCTGCTGTTGATTGCATTACTGAATGACGATTGAACCTCTGGAAGTGTTATAATGTATGTACTGCTGGTGCATGATACGTGGTAGAAAGCAATATCCTTCTATATCCCAGTTCAGGACTGAAGAAATAAATGGACTGTGTGGTTTTGAGTAATTACTTGCACTCTGTTCATGAATCTAGATCTCTGCAATTTATTTAAACATAAACAACTCTCAGATTCCCTCCAACACTTTGGTTTTTCTCTTCAAAATTCTTTGGCAGAAGAATGTATTCTCCCCTATTGCAACTGATCAGTTGCTTGTCAACCTATCTAACCTGTCATTTTCTGAGAGCCTGGTTGGGTAGCAGTCAAAATAGCAGCCTGTTGTTTGGGGGCTCCTGCACACTGGGCTACAAAATAAAGGAAAGGTCCAGTTTATATCCATTATGTTATATTTTTTGACTAATAGTATTTTGCTTTATTTGAATATTTATTAAATTTTTTAAAATGTATTTATTTACACGTAAAAACTAAAAGCGATAATCAGGCAATTAATATATATTCAAGTGCAACAGTCTGAAAAAGTACCTATTATAAAGTATAAGTGTTATCTAGTATAGAAAAAAAAAAATAATAAAATAATTGTGTCTTCACAAAAATACCAGATTGTGAGATTTTGGTGAATTTATACTTTTGAAGAATCTAAAAGCTTAAGGAGTCACTGCTGGATACACGTAGCAAATAATGCAGTTATCTGCTACGTATGACTTCAATTTAGCAGCAGAGCCAAAGATTATGGGGTTTGTACACTTGTATCAGCAGAACACTTAGACTTACTCTAAATTTTCAGCACATACTTATATTTCATTGACTTCTGAGCTGAAAGTGAAGCATATGCCACTGTGGTTGGCTGAATAGTGGTGGACCCTGGGACACTTGAATGCTTTTGTGCACTTAGGCCTAATCAAAAAGTGTATCTGCAATGTAGGGTGTCTCTAGCACAGTCAAATGTGTTATCGGTTTGACAGATCTCAAATTCGACTTGTTCTTAGTATAGCAGTGTGTTTTTGCTGGAGCAGTCTGCTTTGACTTGTAGAGTTTTATGATTGATTGCATAAGGACTGTCTTGTATGCCTTTCTTCTTAAAAAGAAAAACCAAACAAATTAAAAAAAACCCACTCAACAACCCAAAGGAGAAAGAACAAGTGCTGCATAACTCTTAAGGGAAAAGCTGTGCTTTGTTCCAAGGTTAAAAAGGAAAATTGAAACAAAAGAAGGATAATAAAATGTAGGCTGTTCAGGTAAAATGAAGTCACTTTTCCTCTATGATGAAGAAGATACCTACCGTCTAGCACACACAGTCTGAAGAAGACATAATAACTAATAATTTATCAGTACCTGGTTTATTAGGATAAAGCTGCAGCTAAAGATATGTGTATAATAGAAGCTTCAAAAGCTGTAAATCTAGTGTGATAAATGATTCAAAGTACAACACATTAGCTTAGATTTTAATGTTTGTAAAATGAATGAAACAATACATCTATATGCCAAAGCCATATTATCATAAACGTATTTGCCAAAATATAAGACATAAATTGCACTTAAATTTAGTAATCTGTGATGGTATGCTTGAATGTATCTTCGTGATTAAATGTGAACAATTGCTCCTTTAAGGTAAAGGTCTGTGTATGTGTGATTAATCAGATTGAAATGACAGGGCGGACAGCTCGTGCCATGCCTAGTTATCAGAATGATTGATTTTAGTCGATGCTGCTGGATGAAAAAATATCTGTTAATAACTACAGCTGCAAAACTCCTGATGTCACTGATAGCACAAATCACTTCTCACATTCTGTATTATCTGGCTCATTTGCAGATATGGAGTATACAAACTGATCCGTTGGAACGCAAAATTATAACGTACAGATTTATGCAAGAGGGATGACTGCAAAGTGCGTTGCATGAGTAGTGTAAGAAGCTGAAAATTGCTGCTGTTGTAGCTGTCATAGACATGTTATTTTCTTTGGTATGTGTGGAGTTTTTGCTGTCAGGCTTTTATCCTGCAGATTGTTTGTGCTGCACCTCTCTTCCTGCTTAAAATAGAAAATCAGTCACTGAACCTGGATACTATTAAGTGTTCTTAGAATAGTTCTTAACTAACTTGGTTGATTTGTGCTTTCTGATGAAAGAACATTTGGTTGTTTATTGCAGGCTCTGAACAAACATGTTCTTCCAAAATCAACAAATAAAATTACATATTGCATTGCATCAACAGAATTGTTTACCGTACAGATATTCCTTGCCATATAATATTTATCTGTTTAGTTGGTATGTTTTTATTTTGAAAGATCTGGAGTTTATCTTCATCAAACATTGTGTCTTGCCTGCATTTTGCAGGGGTTGATAGGGAACGTGGGTGTCTTATGGACCTCAGAGGAGGAGACAGACAACAAATAATCTGATTTGTTTGGTAGGATGTGCTGTTCTTGCATTCTCTCTGTTTACTACTGCATGTAAGAGTCTGCCATGCCCATTTGTACTGCTTCCTTTTCTCCTCTTTTCCCTTCTGTTCAAGATGCTTAGCATCCAAAGGTGGAATAAGATTCATTTTTTCCCAGCCTCTCATGCCCGTAAACTCCAGAATGAACACAGATCTGAGAGAAGTGCAAATTCTTTTGCATCAGTGTTAACTGCTTCTCCCTTGCCCCCAGTAATTCACCTCCCTTGTTGTTCTAAATCCAGCCTCTTACCCAGCCTTTCTTCACTAGCTTTTTTTCTGCCATTCCACGCTGGCCCAAAACAACACATTTCACATACCTCCAGACACAAAAATCTTTGCAGGTTCTCATAACCCCCCTGTCCCTCCAGAATTCACAAATGCATCCGTTTTCAAGAAGCACATACAGTGGTGGTCTGAAATGCTGGGATTCTTGCTTTCCAGGAGGGATAAAATTGTCCTTTGCTCTTTCAAGCTTCTCCTTTCTGCTTAGTAGGTAAGTTTTTAAACTTCAGAAATATTTATATTAAAAAAAACCCAACAGACTTGTTGAATGAATATGCTGTTTCATCATGCTGCTGTTTAATTATAGCTGGTATTCTGCAGAAGACCAGTGTGGTCATAGTGTTACCAGTTAGCCTCAACATTTTATGGATGTAAATTGTAGGGGAAAAAATGTTAAGTTACAAGAAAGCAGAGATGATTCTTGCATAATAGGATATTAAAGCATTACTGTCATTATTATTTGTTCTCATTTCTCCAGAGGACCCCGGTCTTGATTATGATTCTGTTGCGGTAAGTGCCTCTATCAATCACAGGGAGATCAAGTCCTTGCCTGAAGATGTGCATATAAAGACACCCCATACAGCAGCATGCCCTGAAGGAGCTTGATGGTAATTTCATAGGTGCCAAATATATTAATGTGAGTTCAGGTAGACTGGCATGTTTCTGAAGTCTGAGATATTTCAAGATTAAATCATTTATTTATTTATTTATTTTAATTATTGCTGTGATTCTCCCAGGAATTACTGTGATGCAGAAAGAAAAGACTTTCCTGCCTTTCAGATCTGCAACTTTCTGAACTTTGAATGGAAGGATAACATGGCATATATGAATATGAATTTATATAATTATTTTCATCATTGAAGTATTTTTTATAAACATTAACAAATAACCCTCAACAACATCTCTGTGGATATTGCCCTTTCGTATGTTGAGAAGGGATGCGTGGGAATTCTGTGTTAGATGCTTTCATCAAAGGAATAGAAAACTCAGGGTGAATCCTTGCCACTAGTGCAGTTTGCTTAGGAACTTACTGAGGAATTGTCCCTTAATCTAAAAGTCATAACATTTTAAATAACAAAGTTTTACTATTCGGAATGGACCCAGTTACCCTCTTAGCAGCCAATAATTTTGAAATGCTGTTGGCTACAGATATTCATAAATTACCTTCCCTCACCTTTCCTTTCATACAAATAATGAACATTGCACTACGCTGCTAATATGCTTTCATCTCCTGTTCAAGCAAAAGAGTAAGAGTTGCCTTTGAGCATGCTCATCTGCATGGTGTTCCTGAGTTCATGGTTTGATTTGTTTGCAGATAACAGCAGCGAGAACCGAGAAGATATGTTTTAAATGCTGCCGGTTGTTTTTGTGTGCAAGAAGAATCCCAGCCGTGAAGGAATCTGAACTAGGAGGAGGAGACAGAAGTTCTTGGCTGCACTCTTTTACTAACATCAGTAAGCCATTGCTTTGTCCATAAGATTGAGTGAAGATGCACCACCTAAGGAATTTTAGATAGAAGGTCACAGTTTGGCACCGAGTACGGCGCATACAAACGTGTCAGTTCCATTTCACAGGGCATCCGCTCCGTCTCCAGGCAGGGCTGCAGGACTCTTCATGTATAAATAAATAACCTGCTTTAAGACAGATTATGTTCCTTGGATATCAATCACTGGTAAATATCGTGTTTCTACTCACGATGTAAGAATACTAAATGGAAACTCATGAAGATTTCAGATTGCCATTATATTTACAGTCCTGGGGCTTACTGCTGAGAATTATTGGATGCCTTTGCCACTGAGTATGGGCTGCAAGCTGCAGTGGGATACTCATTCCTGGCTTGCCTCTCAGACTTTCAAATCAACATTAATCTTGTTTCCTACAACCCTACCTCTGCATCACCGTAAATAATGCAGAAAGCTACCAGATCTTCACCAGTTGGGCTCAGTGAAGAAATAAAACCCCAAACCCAATCTTTCCTGATTCCTTATCTGGGAAATGGTTTGGACCACAGCATTGTCGGGATTGTGTGATTACAGGGACTGAATGCATTGGGGTAGAAGTGGGGGAAATATGAAAAAAAAAGCTTGACGTGTGGAGTGCCTTCTGGTAACTGCACGATGAAAGGGGCAAATCATTTAATTTACCATCCTCCTGCCTGACCATCAGCTATTTTTCTGTAAGCAGTCAGACAGACCCCATTTCCAGCTGCAAATAACACTTCCCTCGATGTGCTGGTGTCAAGAGGCAGGGTTCGTTCAATCCTGGATTATTGCCATCTTTCTGTGACAGTGACACCAATTTCTTTGCAGCCTGGTTGTATGTTTCACTCACCAGCCCTTCATCTCCACTGGCTGAAACAAAGGTGAGAGATTGTTTACAAAATTCAGGAATTCTGTGCTGGAGACTGTCAGTGTTTTGAAAGAAGCCATAGTTGTGTATTCTGAGTCTACACTGAAATTTTTCAATATGAGTGCAGCTGCTATTTTGTTCCTTATGAATTTGGGCTTATTAAAAGATAATTCCATGCATGCTTCAATCTTTTTATCTTATTCTGTTCCATTCTATTTATTCTTAAAGGAGAAAAATACAGTGAGAATATATAGATTTTCTTTGTCCTTATTTAGTGTATCAACAGATTAGCTTGTGATCATTTTTAATGAACTGTGAGGATAAAAAGGAACTCAAAGCTTGCTAAACACTCTCTATTTTTAATCATTATTGGTAGAAGTGAATGCATAATGCTAGGTAGATATTTGTTACCCTTTTCCTTCTTTACACAATTGCTCTTATTTTGGGGTTGGATTTTTTTTAGTTCTGCAACATCCTTGTTTAATAACGAAAGGATTATCGCAAACAAAAGAGTAGCCCAGCCATGGAACAGTGTCAGCAGAGCCAAAACCATCTCAGCCAAAATGGCAAATAAGAGGGGTACACAGCACTTCATTTAACTGGTTTTATGCAGGTACCCTGGAAGTAGGCCTAAGGAGGTTATCTAGCCAAGCTGGTAAGAGAATCATCGTGAATTGGAGTAGCTAGCTTTATCCTTAATGAGCTTTAATACAGAATGGTAGAATTCAGGCTGACCAAAATTCAGATGTGTGCTGAGGGATGATTATTTTCAACTGGCATATAAGGAATATGATATTTTTTTTTTAAGTCCTCTTTTAATTCTATTTTGAGTTAGTGCCACAAAAAAATTCATTTCAGTGTGTCTCTTCGTGACAAGAAGTTGTGTTTTTCTGCACTAATGTTCTACTTCATACAACATGGTTAGCACACCATGGGCTTTGTGACAGAGGGCCTCCTGAATTTTCTGAGAAGCTGGCTTCAGTGTGAGGGAAAGCTTACTATTTTGCTATTAGTTTGTATCACAGGGTAAACAGTTTCCAGATAAGAAGTGCTTTGGCTTACCACAAAAAGGTACAGCATTTTGAAATGTAGAAATTGGAAGCTTATTTTTACTACTTCTATGAAATGGTCGCCTAGGAGAAAGTGCTTTATGAACTAAGAAAGGGGTGTAGAGACTTTTTAGAGGTATATTCAACCAATTTGGAGTCTCTTAAATTATCTTAGGTATTTTCAAGCATTTTTTTTTCAGTGGATTCATATATCAGACAGTATTTCTGACAATCTATTTTATGCTTCATTGACCACAGGGTTTGAAATTCTAGTCCATATTGGCACAGTAGTGCCAAATTTGTAGTGATAAATGGATAACTTTTTTATTTTAAATAGGTCTCTGGTGTTTAATTTGAGATCTGTGATTTTTTTTTCGGTTCATTACTTCTGCTATTTTTCTGTCTAGGAAAAAGTGATCAAAATAGACAGAGGGATCAAGGTGGAATATTGCTTTAGACTTCTCCATATAAAGAAAAAGAGGAAGAAATGGATTGCCCACGGAAAGGTAAATGTACTCATACCACGTGTTCATTTTGCTTTAACACACACACAAAAAAAATAATTTTCTGACTTTTTTTTAGGGACAAATGAAAGATCATATTTTTCATGGTGATAGTTTTTCCTATACCAGCACTGTTACCCTTGGGAATCTATTTAAAATGTGTAACCCATGATTCATAATTGGGTAGTATGGTTGCTAATGCTATTTTCATAAGCAGAGATTTTTTTATTTAGGTATACCACAAATTAAATTTCTTGAATTTTAACAGAGTGTTCATGTTGCTAAATTATAACCCCTTATACTAAAAGCGATAATACCTCCTATCATTATTTGGGTGTGTTGTACTGTGCAATTATAAGGAGGAGGAAGCTGAGGAGATTAAACACTGAGCAAAGGTTTCTATTTTAGCATGTTCTCTATTATTCTTTATCCTTTTACAACAAACCACATCTCATAAATGGGTCCTGAATCCAAAGAGGTAGTCATAGTGTTTACCTAATTCTACAGAAATTTACATTTTATATTACTCATGTAAGATTTTCCTGATATCAGTCTTTAAAATTGTGTATATTTTTTTCATATTTTCCTCATCCTAAACCTCTCCTCATATCCTCATTTCAAAACTGAAATATTTGATTAAATTCTAATAAAAATGTTTTTATAGTTGCCTACATAAAATC